TTTGGATTCACCTGTGAAGCATCCAAATCAAAGCTAAAACCACAAATGTGAAACACTAAAGACAAGCATGGGAAAAACTGTAAATCTTCATTTCTAACATTGATCTAACTTTCTATATTGGATCAATATGTTGTATTTAGATGGTAACAAAAATGGTAACCCACTTAATTTAAAATATTAACTTTTAAATTATGAAGTTTACATCAAAACCATTTTGCAAATGCACTTTGAAGGCACATTAAGGGTTATGGGCAGTACACATGATTTCTTGGTACCCATAATACAAACAATAGATAATCCAGAGACATAGATTTTATTACTACATGGGAATTATATTTAGATTTGAGGGCATTTTATATAAAGCAAAAATACAGATCATTAATAATGAGTTTGGCATATTCATTAAGTTAACCTTACTGTTTTTTGTAGAAAAGAGGTGATGTTTGTAAACATAATAAAAATTTTTTAGGCAAAATCTACTGCTTCAATTTAATCCCATCAAGAATATTAGTTTTCAAGGTGAATGATCACTCTGAAAACTTATTTTATCCTGAAGTAAGTAGAGGCTAGATTTGACACTGGAAATTTTTACTAAGGACTGCCATTCCTTCTAATTTAGAATTATCTTTCTAACTTAGAATTCTGTTAAAAAGAATGTACTTTCACTAATGTCCCTACTGTGTCAAAACAAAGGTTTAAGAAAAGTGGGCATCCCCATAGTTGGGAGGTCACTGGAGTTGTGTTCAGGTGTCAGTTGATGACTGTAAGGACATTACAGTGTTGTACACTGTTCCTCAGTCTAGTGCATAGCCTAAGGCAATCCAGAATGGCTCTAACCAATCTTGACTAGCTATTGATAAGCAAGCATTAAAAAATAAAGCAAAGAACTACAATATAGCTTAATTTTTGTAAACCTTGTTTTAGGGATAACTTTTCAGTTTTCCCAAAATATTGATATATTTCAGTATTCTGAATACATCGGTGTTAATTCTGAGTTGGTAGAGATAACTTAACCAATCATCACGTTTTCGTACTAAGAGATATACCTTTCAATAAATTTATTGAAATGTAAAAAAAAAAAAAAAAAAAGAATTTTTAAGTTATTTATTAACCTAAGAAGGCTTTTTATAAATTTCTTTTTCTTAAAGACTTGTTATAGCAAAGGGGGAAATGACTTCACTGATCTAGTGGGCCAGTATCTGAAGGCATTTACTAGGGGTTGTCAGAAAAGTCATGACATTTTGCATAGAACAACAAAAACCTCATGACTTTTCTGACAACCCAACATCCTGAGTAAGGATTTACCAATCTCTGCTAAGTATGTTAGCCATTTCAATAAATTATCAGCTTAGAAAACAGCATTCTCGATAGCCTGAATATTAAAATCTCTAAAATAATATATTTTTGTTGTATATCATCTTGCACTATATTGACCTGAATTTGTGCTCATTTAAAGTGACATAAGCCTGAACAGGATAAGAGGACCAACAGTTTGAACCATACATGAACTAATTAGAGACTTAGAAGCAAAATGAATAGAAACCTGGATATTGTACAGAAAGCAAAAATAAGTCAGATAGTCTCTACATTGAGGGTCTGGAAACTGTTAGGAACTGTCAGGAAACGGAGACATCAGCACTGGTTATATATTGTTGCTGCAACAATTGGATTGCTGGAAATTATGTATCTGCATTTAAAAATTTGAACTTTGTCACTACATATATAATATACATTCTTGCCACTTAAATTTCTTAATTCATAGTGATTCATCTTTTTCTCCTTCAAACCAAATGTTAACACTTAACATATCTAGATATGTTAGATATGAGCAGCTCACTTTTAACAGTAGTATTTAGGCAGATTTCTTGCAAAGTGGGAATTTTTTGTTATTGATTTAAATAGATTAACACAGTAAAAAAAACTTCTCTGGGGACTAGCAGTTAGCGTAATGGCTATGTCGCTGGACTCCCACATAGTTGACCGCGGTTCGAGTCCCACACCCGGTGGATTAAACTCACGCCAGGCACGTGTGCATGCATGCCCAAGATCCCAAGAGGAGAATGGAGAAGGGACTGTGGTGTGGCCATCCCCCCTGGGGGGTGATTTCTCACTTTCTATCTCTCTGTCTCTCTCTGTCTGTCTGGCGAGCACACGTGCCCTATAGCAAAAACCTCTTCAAAAAAAACTTCTCTGAAGCTTTACTTCTCAACCTTGCCATACGTATTCCAGTGTTGTAACAGAGTTAAGCTATGAAGCCTCCAAACAGCACAGTTGATTTGCATGATGTTCCTAGACTTGGGAAAACTGCTGCCTGATTAATAATGCTGTAGTGGTATTCTATGTACATTTGGATTCACCTGTGAAGCATCCAAATCAAAGCTAAAACCACAAATGTGAAACACTAAAGACAAGCATGGGAAAAACTGTAAATCTTCATTTCTAACATTGATCTAACTTTCTATATTGGATCAATATGTTGTATTTAGATGGTAACAAAAATGGTAACCCACTTAATTTAAAATATTAACTTTTAAATTATGAAGTTTACATCAAAACCATTTTGCAAATGCACTTTGAAGGCACATTAAGGGTTATGGGCAGTACACATGATTTCTTGGTACCCATAATACAAACAATAGATAATCCAGAGACATAGATTTTATTACTACATGGGAATTATATTTAGATTTGAGGGCATTTTATATAAAGCAAAAATACAGATCATTAATAATGAGTTTGGCATATTCATTAAGTTAACCTTACTGTTTTTTGTAGAAAAGAGGTGATGTTTGTAAACATAATAAAAATTTTTTAGGCAAAATCTACTGCTTCAATTTAATCCCATCAAGAATATTAGTTTTCAAGGTGAATGATCACTCTGAAAACTTATTTTATCCTGAAGTAAGTAGAGGCTAGATTTGACACTGGAAATTTTTACTAAGGACTGCCATTCCTTCTAATTTAGAATTATCTTTCTAACTTAGAATTCTGTTAAAAAGAATGTACTTTCACTAATGTCCCTACTGTGTCAAAACAAAGGTTTAAGAAAAGTGGGCATCCCCATAGTTGGGAGGTCACTGGAGTTGTGTTCAGGTGTCAGTTGATGACTGTAAGGACATTACAGTGTTGTACACTGTTCCTCAGTCTAGTGCATAGCCTAAGGCAATCCAGAATGGCTCTAACCAATCTTGACTAGCTATTGATAAGCAAGCATTAAAAAATAAAGCAAAGAACTACAATATAGCTTAATTTTTGTAAACCTTGTTTTAGGGATAACTTTTCAGTTTTCCCAAAATATTGATATATTTCAGTATTCTGAATACATCGGTGTTAATTCTGAGTTGGTAGAGATAACTTAACCAATCATCACGTTTTCGTACTAAGAGATATACCTTTCAATAAATTTATTGAAATGTAAAAAAAAAAAAAAAAAAGAATTTTTAAGTTATTTATTCACCTAAGAAGGCTTTTTATAAATTTCATTTTCTTTTATACATTCAATCACATTATTTAGCTTACAGAGTATTTCAACATGTGAACATTTCTCCCTAGTCCAGTTGATAAAACTTTAAAATATCTTCAACAGATAATACCACATTTCTTGGTCCATTATGCTTTGTCTCCCTATTTTTCTTCTAAATGTCCTTCCTCAGACCCTACTCTTTCATACACACTATATCTGGTACTCACATTCATTTACTGTGTTTCTATATCCTTTAGTCAATCACTTTCAGTCATAGAGTGTGGATACTTGGTATATATTAAGTGGGGACATACAATGTCTCTCCTTCATAGCTTGGCTTGCTTCATTCAGCAGAAAAAAAATATTATTTTATTTCATTTTATTTATTTATTTATATTTTAATTTGACCAGAGAGGGACAGAGTGAGAGAGAGGGAAAGTGAGAAAGCAAGCCAGCAGGTCTGAGACTCAAACAGCAGTCGGTCATATGGGAATCCAGAGCCCTTAACCACCATGCCACCTGCCAGCCCCCTGAGAAGGCTTTTAACTCTTATAGCTGACCAAACTCTAGTCCCAGAGAGTCTATTGGGTCATCAGAAAAATCATAAAAGATTTTTCTAAGCAAAAATGTGTCATGACTTTTCCAATGATCCAATAATTTAGTCATTAAGAGGAGAAAGGCTGTGCACATATTTAAAAAAAAAAAAAAGTCTTCAGGTAATTCTGGTTAAAAATCAAAGCCATGGTTCTCAGTTTAAATTATGTATTCAAATTGCCTGAGGAGCTTTTAAAACTCCTAAATATTAAATCAGATGTCTGGAATGGGACCCAGTCATCTCTTGCTTTTAAACACTCTCCACAGGTGATTCCACTTTGCAGCTGATGTTAAAAACTACTCACTACTTTAAAGTATATTGACCTTTATAAGAGGAAGAAATCTGTACTCATCAAGAATATCCCCATTAGAAAAAAATAGTATAACAAAGAAGCAAACTATGAAAAGTAGCACCATTCATCTCGGTTTACTTGAATTGATTAGTTAATGCTATTACAGTAAGTCAAGTATAAAACTGAAACGTAATTTAAGAATAAAATTTAGCTACAGATAAATAAGATAACCTTAGGGAAATACTGTTAAGTGTTTTATACATTATACATTATTCCAGTATCAAAATGCTGCTCAAAAAATAAACACACACGTATTACTAAAACATTTTTGTTTTAGTTATGTATCAAAATAGGAAATTCAAAGACATTAAATTTATATATGGTAGTTTGAAGAATAATTTAGAAACAATGGTCAAACTATTATGATACAAATATATAATAATAGCTGCCAATGTTAATTTATAAAAACATTTATGTGAATAAATGCATTTATAAATTTTTTATAAAAATCTATAACATCACATGTACCATATGACACCATCATATGCACCACATGAAAAATAAAACCTATGTTTCACTAAGTGACCAACACCTATGAAAGGATTCCGGAGGGTTTTTTTTTTTCTGTTGTTCATCATTAACTATTATACCTTGGCTTCAATTTGTCGATAGCAAGATATTCCGTATACTGTCGCTCCATTTCCATTTCTGGGTGGCAAGTGAAAAAACACAGTATCTAAGAGATACATAGAAAAATATAAATACCAAGGCAAATTACCCTTATTAATAATGTAATATAACAAGGAACTCTTGTCCTATTTACTTCCGATATTATAGTACTTGGTTTCACAGAATTTCTTCACTACTTTATGTTATATTCTCATTACAAAAAGTCTAAGAGGGGGAACCAGCAGTTAGCGTAATGGCTATGTCACTGGACTCCCACATAAAACCTCATGCTATAAAAACTACTGATAGAAAACACAAGAGACTCTTGGAGACACAGGAGTAGGCAAAGACTTCTTAAACAAGGCCTCCAGGGAACCAGCAGTTAGGCTATGTCGCTGGACTCCCACATAGTCGACTGCGGTTCACGTCCCGGACCCGGTGGCTTAAAACTCACGCCAGGCGCGTGTGCGTGCGTGCCCAAGATCCCGAGAGGAGAATGAAGGAGAAGGGATTGCGGCATGACCATCCCCTCGGGGGGTGATTTCTCGCTTTGTCTCTATGTCTCTCTCTGTCTGGCAAGCACACACGCCCTATAGCAAAAAACCTCTCCAAAAAAAAGCCTAAGAGGCTGAATTACAACAAATCAAATTGAGACTACAACTACAGAAGATACTATATCTATAGAAGACGGTCCAGATTTTAAAAAAGTAGAGAGTCATAAAAACCAACAGTAGGACATGAACCTTGAATTGATCCAAGAAATTGTTAAAACAATTTGTGGAAATCTGAATATAGATATTAGAAACAGTATTATAAAATTACAATGTTCCCTGACTTATAATGGTTTGACTTGAGATTTTTTGACTTTATGTACAAAAGCAACATACATTCATAAAGACTTCTTTGAATTTTATTCTTTTCCAGTGCTAGAAATATGCAATTAGATACTCTCCTAAGATATAGGGCAGCAGCAGTGAGCGACAACTTCCAGTCAGCCATGTGATCACAAGGATAAACAATATTGTACTGTATAATGGATCCAGTTTTGGCTTTTGATTTTATATTTATGGTTTATTGGAAAATATAATATAATATAATATAATATAATATATAATAATTGTGACAGCTCTGCTTAACACTTTGATTAAGTCAAGAGAGAAAATGGGTAGGGATATCTTAAAGATATGCAAAAATTTAACAGTTGAAATAATCCTTAGCCCTTCTAAGAAGCTAAAGCTGGGAAATATGTAGTATATACTTCCGTATCTCCTCTTAGTCTTTTTGGTGTAGTATTCCCATAAGTATTTCCTAAAGAGTTGACCTAGTTTTGGTGATTTTTTTCAGCTTTTGTTTATCTGGAAAAGATTTTACTTCTTTTTCCCATTTGAATAGTAATCTTGCCAGCGTTAGTATTCCTAGCTAAAATTGTCTTCCTTTCAGAGGTTTGGTTTTGTTTTCATCATTTGTTTTTTTGGTTTCTTTTTGGTATATGTTTTTGTAAAACCAGGCCACATTAATGTTTTTGTATAATTTAATAAATAATCTTTTGATGACTGCAGACAGATAAGACTGGCTATATCCAGAAACATCACAATCATGATGGTTTTCCAGATTGGTGTATCATCTTCAAAAATTACAAGGAGTTACTTGTATGCAACTGCTATCAAACCAGTAAGACAGCATTTATGCATCCATCATTTTCAGAACTATTGGTAACTTGGGCATATTTCCCCCAAATAACCTTGCCACCTATGTCACAAAGCCCAACTCTCCCTTGTTCACCTCAAAGACAGTACTTTTGATGATAATACCCAAAGTTATTATACAGTGAGGATGAGGGGTTCTTCTTTACACCAAGTACTGGCAGGCAAAAGGTGGCTTTCAGTTCAGGATGTGTTATGAGGGTCTTCTTGAAACATAAGCCAATTGACCTAATGATTCTTTCATATTTAGGTGGTTTTCTAGTAAAGCCATCTCCAACAAAGCAGACTTTTGTTACCATCCTTTTCCATAGTTTCTTTCTCTTTCCTGTTCAAATAACTTTTAATACTTCTGTTACTCCCTGGGCTCAAACTTTGGGTAGAGGAACTTCCCATTTTCCTGCTTTCTCCTTCCGTTTTTGTTTAATCATATTGGAAAGTATTTTAGCTAAAAACTGTCCTTCTCTGTACAACAGACAGGCAGGTACTGCTCCTGTGGAGTCTTTTCATCATTCTTTTGTTTGGTTTCTCCTTTTCATGCATTTTGATAGTCTTTTTCATTTGTATTTTCTCAGCATGGCGCTGCTTATGCTAGTACTTAGCCTTCAGATCAATCATCTTTTTTGCCTTCTTTGAACATTCATGAGCCTCTTGACTTTCCTTCTTTCTCTTTTTCTAATGGTAATCCAAATGGTATCCATAGCATTACAATGTAATTAAATATATTCATTTTGTGGCATGGTGATGGCTGCATAGTTGCTAGAAGCAGCCTCCCAGATGTAAAGAAGTCATCAACTTTCAGGACTCAAGAGACCCAGGAGCAGACCCAGCACAGCCCAGAATGGGAAAGTTCTTTCAGAGTTTTAAATATGTCTTCTCATTCTTTCCTTACCTGCCTTGCTTCAGTTGAGAGAACTGATGTTAGCCTAATGGTGTAACCCTTATAAGTACCTTGGCGTTTTAAAAATACTATCTTTGTCTGATTTTTACCAATTTGGCTATGAAGTGCTTAGGAAAGGATCTTCTTATGTTAAATCTATTTGGTGTCCTTTGTATTTCCTAGATTTGGATGTCCACATGCTTCTCTAAATTTGGAAAGTTTTCAGCTAATATACCATGAAAGAGATTTTCTATGGCTTTACCTGTCTCTTTGCCTTTTGGAATACCTGGTTATTTGGCTATTTAAAGGTGTCTATGTTTCCCATATGCTGTACTCATTTTTAATGGATATTCTTAAATTCTTTTCAGTTGGATGGACTAAATCTGAGGTTTTGTCTTCAAGGTTAAAGATTCTTTCTTCTGCATGGTCTAAACTACTGTTAATACTTTTGAGAGAGGTTTTGATTTCCGGCATCATATTCTTTATCTCCAAAAGTTCTGTTTGATTCTTTTCAGGGTGTCTATCTCTTTACGGAGTTCCTCTTTCAAGTCATGGAAGGATTTTCTAATCTCCTAGGATTTGGTTGTCTGTTTTCTCTTACATCTCATTGAACTTTGTTATGATAAATATTCTGAATTATTTTTATGACATTTCTGCAATCTCTTGGGCTTTATCCATTTTTGGTGAAGTTATGTTCCTTTGACAGGGAGTTACTTCCTGGATTTCTCCTATTTTGGGGGTGTGCCTTGATTTTTAGTCATTTGCTGATATCACTTCTCACTCCTCTGGAGTATGTTTCTATAGCTGTGTGCTTGTGCACTACCCTATGGTGTGAGTTAGCTCTGTGCCAGTTTCCCTCCTCTACTGTGGGTGGAAGTGTGTGATTCACAGTGAGAGTTTTTGGGTTAGATTTTCAGAGAATTTATCTTTTATTGCTATGACAGTTGTAGAGAAAGAATTCCTCTAAAACCTTAGTCTTCGGGTGTTTGGTTCCTGTATATACAAATCTCTCTGCTCCCAATGTGGCTGGAGGCTGAACTGGACAGGTAAAATGGAAGGTGGTAGTCCAACCAGTGATAAGTCTTTGAATGCTAGAACAGCCCCTCCTCCCCTACTGCAGGCTGAGTGGGGATCTTTGATGATCGGCTCAGACTAGGCAGCCTTTGCTTTCCTGTGGCTCCCTCTATCTCTGGGACTGTACGAACGAGGTAGTGTTTCTTGAAAGCCAGAGCATAACCTCTGTCCCCACTGTAGACTGGGTGGGAATCTTTGGTGATAAGCTCCGGCTGGTAACTTTTGATATTGTCATCTTGAGATGGTGGGTTTATTTAGATGTAACCCATCCAACTAACCATCTATCCTTCTAACCATCATAAATTGAGGAACATCTGCACTGTTAGATCTCTTACTTGTGATAAGGATACCAGATGCTATGCTGGGGAGCAATCTCATTCTTAGGAGAATAATGTTTAAGTATTTTGAGGTGAAGTATCATGTTTCCCTGTGACTTTCCAATAGTACAGACAACACTATACACATATACAAATAAAAAGAAAATTCATAGAAATTCACAAAATCTGAATTCAATTTTTCTGTATGTTTAAAAACTTTCATAGAAGTCAGTTAGAAAACAAAAATTCTGACATTAAAAATACTGAATTTAAATTTTATGTTAACTTGCATAGTAACTTTTGATTCATTTCATAAGAAAATTATTAAATACTGCAAAAACAGATAACCACATCAAGTTTCATCTGTATTTTGGAAGAAACTGTAATATGATGGTAAAATTTAGTCTTTCATTGAGTCAGGCACAGTACCCATTTATAGCATGGTAAGAGACTTAATAAGAACTGCAGAACACTGCTGCCTTTGAGGATGTGAACATGCTCTGCACATAGCAAGCAAACTTGCAAGCAGATCACTTGACAGCAATGACTCCATAGGTGGAAAAACAATCTAGCTGTCCCCACGTGGGCCTTGGGGTACTAAGTTTAGATATCTAGAGTTCCTATGCAATGTGAAGCAAATTCAAGTCAGCCTTTGTTTGCCTCTGAAAGGAGTCCAATGTGTTAATGTAAGAAATGCTCCCAGTGGCAGTTGTCCTGCTCTAGCTAGGAATCCTGGCAAAAGAGTGGCCAAAGTTCAGCATCCAAGGCCAATGTACACCTGGCACTCCTCTAAAGGCCCTCCAGCACATGACTAGTTCATCTCCAAACAAGGATTCAAACATTATATTAACAGCCACAATAGGGGGACCAGCAATTAGCATAATGGCTATATCACTGGACTCCCACATAGTCGACCACGGTTTGAGTCCCGGACCCAGTGGCTTAAAACTCACACAGGGCGCATGTGCATGCATGCGTGCCCAAGATCCCGAGAAGAGAATAGAGGAAAAGGGATTGCGGCATGGCCATCCCCCCTGGGGGGGGGGTGATTTCTCACTTTCTGTCTCTCTGTCTGTCTGGTGAGCGTACACACCCTATAGCAAAAAACTCTCAAAAAAAAATAAAATAAAATAAAACAGTCACATAGTCACAATAGGGGAGACCTTCCATTTACCAAAGTAAATTATAAGATATCTTCACATAAATCTTTTAAAATGGTACCAACAGGGGCCAGCTGGTGGCATGGTGCTTAAGGCAGCTGGATCCCATATGGCCTACTGTGTAGTTCAAGTCCTGGACCCAGTGGCTTGTAAAATGTTAGGTTCGTGTACATCTGAGCCCAAAATCTCAAGAGAAGGAATTGTAGTGTGGCCATACCTACTAGGGTTTGCTTTCTTTCTCTCTATCAAGAGCACACAACCTATAGCGAAATTAAAATTAAAAAAAGTCTCACTGCATACCTTCTTGGTAATTGTGTGCACCATCTGGTAAGGCAAGGAAGGGCAAATACTTCCATTCTTCAGGTAAAGTGTGGCTGTCATGTCCATCTCCTGGAATCAGGGGTGGGTAAGAGAATTCAACCTAAAATGGGGAAAAAAAAAAGATATTAGTCAAAAGGAAACATTTTATCTTCACAAGCAAAAATGCTTTTGATCCCTAAATGACAAGAGGGATAAGCCATACCTGTTGATCCTTCTGATATTATCACATGGTATAAAATAAGAAAAAGAAAAAAGTAGTCAAAGATTTCTAAGTCATTCTTAGTTTCTGATTTAAGGGTTATTAAACTTGAATGTGCATAAGGGGGGAGAAAAAAGGGGTTCAAGTAGTGATGGGGTGACTGGATTGGAGACAAGGGATTTGGGAGTTATCATCAACTAGAAGGTAACTGAAGCCATGGAGCCCAAAACAAAATCTATGCCCAACAATGGAGCCTAAAATTGAGCCAAGGTTTGTTTCCCATCAGTTGGTTCCCTTGTTTTCAATATTTGTAGTTTTGGCTAATGGTCTTGATGGGTTTCTACTGATTGGGGGCGTAGGCGGGTTGAGCATTAACCAGCAGAGGGCGGAGGAATTATGGTGTGGCAAGACCTTGGCAAGAGTACTTGTATGTCTGTCTCCAGAAATAAGAAAAATTACACATTTAATGTGCCATACCTTTTAACACCCCTGACAGCAATTTCGGTTTTAGGTATTCAGCCCAGAGGTAACTCTCACAATTATTCACACAAATATGTACAAAAATGCTCCTAGTAGCAGGATTTGTCATAGCATAAAAGTTAAAAACCTGAATCTTCTTAAGAAGAATGGTTAAATAAATTTTACATTAGTTCTATCCAGCTGTTAAAAAGAATGTCAGAGGCACATATACTGATAAGACAAGATAGAAATGAAATAATTGTGTGGTAGGCAAAAATAACTGCTCTCCAAAGATGTCTGTGTTCAAATACATGCAGAATCTATTATTTTAACTTTATACAGCAAAAGGAACTTTGCAGATTAAGGATCTTGAGCTGGGGATTATCCAGGTGGATCCAATGCAATCACAAAGAGTTCTTTCAAGCAAGAGACAAAAGAATCAGAGAGACATTTAAAGTTATGCTGTTGGCTTTGAAGATGGAGGAAAGGACAGTAAAACAAGGAATGCAGACAACTTTTAGAAGCTAGAAAAGGCTACTGAACAACTTGATGTTAGCCTGAAACCCATTTCAGAATTCTGACATCTAGAACTCTAATAAATCTGTAGTGTTCAAAGTTACTAAGTTTGTGGTAATTTATAAAGTAGCAATAGAAAACTAATATATACCAATAAATCTGAAAAGCAAGTAGAGGAGACTGGACACTGGAACAGCAGTAAGACACAATTCTCTGAAAGGCAGATCCACAAGGGAAGGTCATCAGTTCTCATCCTCCTTGAATATACTGGGCATGTGCGTGTCCATGATCCAGGCTGGCTGAGTTGGGAGTGGAATGCAGTGCCAGGACCCTGTCAGGGGTGCTATATTTCTGTTTGTATCTCTTTCTCCATGTTTCTCTTGCTCATGGATAACTTTTTAAAAATCAAGTACAAGATCACAGCAAACATAGTATAATCCATTTTATATTGTGATTATCTAAGCAAAATATTAAACTTTTATAGATTTTAAAACGTGCTTGAAAATAAACTATATACTATTAACAGAGGTTTCATTTCTGCAGAGAATAGAGCTGGGGATCAGAGATAACAGGAACACTCTTGGGACCAGCAGTCAGCGTAACGGTTATGTCATTAGACTCTCATGTAGCCAACCACAGTTCGAGTCCTGGATCCAGTGGCTTAAACTCATCCCAGATGCATGTGTGTACATGCCCAAGATCCCGAGAGGAGAATGGAGAAGGGACTGTGGCGTGGCCATCCCCCCTGGGGGGTGGTTTCTTGCATTCTGTCTCTCTCTCTTTCTGGCAAGTGCACATGCCCTATAGCAAAAACCTCTTCAAAAAAAAAAAAAAAAAAAGGAACAGTCTCAGGAACCAGCAGTTAGAGGAATGGCTATGTCGCTGGACTCCCATGTAGTCAACCGCGGTTCGCATCCTGGACCCGGTGGTTAAAACTCACGATGGGCACATGTGCGTGTGTGCCCAAGATCCCGAGAGGAGAATGGAGGAGAAGGGATTGCAACGTGACCATCCCCCCTGGGGGGTGATTTCTTGCTTTCTGTCTCTATGTCTCTGTCTGTCTGGCGAGCGCACGTGCCCTATAGTGAAAATCTCTCCAAAAAATAAATAAATAAATAAAAAGGAACAGTCTTGAAATATTTCTATTTTTAATACCCATCTTTTTTAAAACATATTTAGAATTAATTTAGTCTTATTTATCATTACTTTTATTTTTTAAATTTCTGTAGGACATGTGCACTCCCCAGAGGGGTACAAAGAAAGACAGGGAGAGAAAGAGAAAGCAAGAAAGTAAGCCTTCGCCAGGTCCTGGACTTGAACTCTGGGTCAGCCATGTAGGAGTCTAGCACCTTAACCACAACACCATCTGTATGCCCTATCCTCATCTTTTTGTTTTGAAATTTTCAAACTTATAGAAAAGTTACAAGAACACTGGCACGGCTCCAGCTCCAGCCCCAACTCCCAACTTCAGAGCTCCCCTTCCTCCCCACCATCAAGGGCAGCTCTCAGCTCTCAAAGGGAGCCCACTTTGATCTGCAGCCCCCTTCCCAGTCAGGGAAACTGAGGCAGGGCCAGCTCCAGCTCCAGCCCCTACTCACGACTTCAGAGCCACCCCTCCTCCCCAGCAGCAAGATAGGCTGTTTTTTAGGCTGTTTTTTTTGTGTGTGTGTGGATTTTTTTTTTTTTTGTATTTTCTAATTTCTTTTGCTAATTCTTTACTTCTCCTTACCCCATAGGACAGCTCTCACCTCTCAAGCAGAACCCACTTCCATCTGTATCCTCCTGGGAAAATCTTGCTCTGCACTGCGGGGCACGCAACTTTTTTCTCCTCTTTCATATTCTTTTTCTTCCCTCTTACACTGTCATCCTCCCTTTATTGTCCACCCACCGGGAGGGACTAGACAGGTCTAGATTCATAGTTTTCAAACATCCTAGCAATGTGAGGCTCCCAGGGATCCTCGCTCTATACTGAACCACCTGCAAAAAAGGAGAAACTGCTTTTCAGAAACCTGAATAGAAAACTAGTCCTGAGGGGACCACATTGCTTCCCACAGCAAAGGGAAATCAAACTAGTTCCTAGTGGCAGAAACATTCACCAAAAAGCCATCCAAAACTGAATACACCACCAAATGGCTAAAAGTCACAGAAGACCTCAAGTTTCAAAAAAATAGGAAATATGTCTCCATCAAAAGAACACAATAAGAGGCCATTGAGGTCAGGGTAAGACTGCCTCCCTGCCCATTTCCAGGCTCTCAAGGCTAGGACCTCACCTTCTTTAAAGATCATACAGGTCCTTGCCCTGCAGGAGTTCTCCCAGTCCATCTATAGCCCACTTCCCAGCAAGGGAAATTGAGGCCATTGAGGCCAGGGCACAGCTGCCTCCCAGCCCACTTCCAGGCTCCCAAGACTAGGACCTTACCTTCTTTAAAGGTAGTCAGGGCTTCATTTTTTCAATTTTTTTTTTCTTCTTTGCTATTTCTTTTTGTTTGCTAATTCTCTCCTCCCCCTTGTCCCACAGACCAGACAGGTCCTTGCCCTGCAGGAGTTCTCCCGTTCCATCTATAGCCCACTGGCAAAACTTTTTCTTTAATCTCCTCTGTACTCTTTTCTTTCCTCTTACATTAACCTCTCTTCTTTATCCTCCACTCTTCTTGAGGAATTTGACAGATCTAGAATCCCAGTTCTGAATTTCCCTAGTACTGGAAGGTTCCTGGGATCCTCGTCAATACTGAATCATCTGTGAATATCTAGAATAGAGTACCCCTCTTGAGACCACATTACTAAAAACATCAGGAGAGGTACTTCTGTACACATCAATTCACAGCAAAAGGGATACACACTTGCTCCTACTCAAAGAAACTTTCTCCTAAGAGATATTCAAAAGTGAATACATCTTCTACTGGCTAAAAGTAGGAGAAGAGCCTCAGGTCTGAACAAGTCGGGAAATATGTCTCCATCAAAGGAACAGAGTAACTCCCCTTCATCTCTCCTAAAATCTGAGGATGTCACCAAAATGTCAAAGAAAGAATTTAGAACCTTCATGATGAACAAATTCTATGAGTTGGAACAGAAAATAGACAACGAACTTCAGGAGATTAAGAAGTCCTTCGACAATATGAAAGAAGAAATGGGCACTCTGAGAAAGAATCAGATGGAGCTATTAGAGATGAAGTCTAAAATACAGGAAATAAAAATCTCTCTTGAAAGTATTAAAAGTCGATAAGACCATGCAGAAGATCAAATCTCCGATGTAGAAGATAAAACCTCTGACCTAGAAAAAAAACACCAAGAAGATAGAGAAAATAACTAAAAAACATGAGGATAATATACGAGAAATACTAGATTCCATAACATCAGAATAATTGGCATCCCAGAAGGTGAAGAAAGTAATAACAGCATGGAAAATCTATTCCATGAAATTCTGGAAGAAAATGTCCCAAGTCTAGGAAGGCACTCAAGCATCCAGACCCAAGAAATATAAAGGACTCCAAATAGACTCAACCCCAGAAGATCTTCCCCAAGGCACATTGCAGCCAGACTCTCAAAGACCACACATAAAGACATGATACTAAAAATGGCAAGGGAAAAAAGAGAACTGACTTACAAAGGTCATCCCATCAGGCTAACACCAGACCTCCCAACGGAAACAATGCTAGCAAGGAAAGAATGGGAAGATGTATTGAAAGTGCTAAGAGATAAACAATTTCAACCAAGACTATTATATCCAGCAAGATTATACTTCATATGGGAAAAAAAAGATTAAAATCTTCTCAGACAAACAAAACCTGAAAGAATTTGCCAACACCAGATCAGCTCTTAAAGAAACCCTGAAGAAAGTACTGTTCCAGGAAAACTAAAGAATTAACAATCAGAAACAAAGAAATGAAAGGCAACTAAGACAATGGCCAACATAAATGTCCTTACAG